CGGTTCCGTGGTTCGCGTCTCGTTACCGCCAAAAAAAAAAAACAGGCTCTGCACTTTGGGACCGTGAGTGCGTTATAAAAGTGACGGTCAACTCCCATTATTCGGTTTGACAAAAGTTAGCGATGGGTGTTATTAACTATCCGCTTCCCCCCCCCCCTCTAGTCTTTAACTTTAAAATTACGAACGGCTAACGCAGATAGCCTTTGATAGCTTTGCGCGAAATCCATCAAACAAACGGACTTAGTGACAATTGGCAACATCCAGAAAAACTTAAGCCTTAAGAAACTTTTTCGACACAATTCACAAGTTTAGCGTTGAGAAAAAAAAACTTCTATAATTCCCACTTTGAACAGTTTTAATTCATTTTCTTTGGCTTAGGAAATGATATTGTAGCCTAAGTTATTATAACCAAATATCTGGTGGGATCTTACTTGAGTTGGTATTTAGGTTATTAAATGTGCTTGCTAATCAAATAGAAAAATAAATAAGTTAGTACGTTAATATTATGAAGTTCCATAACGCAATGTCACAATCGCTAAAGACAATTTTTAGTTTTAACAGACCCAAGTGATAGTAATTTTGACAAACGTTATTTATTTCAGAACTAAGATTTGTTTATCATATTTTGTATGTCAGACGGAAGTATGAATATGTCATCAAAAGAAAATGGAGTTCCTTTAGGATTTATCATCAGCCACAAAGTTACTGATCCTAACAACCCTAATGGCAAAGAGATGGTACAGCATATAAACCTGTTTGTTTTCATGCATGGCGTCGTCAATAAGAGGATGCTTTGGGTAAGAAAAAATACACATTTTCAATAATATAATACTACAGAAAAAAAAAGAAAATCAAATTTGTTATGTGTTGTTTATTATGGCTTAGATTCTTATCCATTTAAACCAATTAGACAATGTTTCAAACTAACATTCTAATACTCTTCTAACCACCAGGTACGAGAAAAACAACTTCAAATATATTGACCTGGATTTTTAAAAAAATTATGTGTAATAATTTATAATTCGAATTGAAAGGGGAAGAGATGATTAAAGAGTAAAAATTCAGAGTGGTTGATTTCAATAATAAAGCACAGAAATATATATATATAGTAACACTTTTTAACACGGCAAACATTCAAATGATCTCATTAGTAACTGTAAACATTGGTGGAATTAAATCAGTATTATTTTAAATTGTACTTAGGCAGTTTATTCACACCTTAATTCAATTTTCATGAGCATACATATAATTATGTTTATTGAGTTTTCATGGGTGTATATAATCAAGTTTTGTGGGGTTTTCATGAGCATGTATATGATCATGTTTAATGGGTTTTCATGGGTGTATGTAATCAAGTTTTGTGGGTTTTTCATGAGCATGTATATGATCATGTTTAATGGGTTTTCATGGGTGTATATAATCAAGTTTTGTGGGTTTTTCATGAGCATGTATATGATCATGTTTAATGGGTTTTCATGGGTGTATATAATCAAGATTTGTGGTTTTTTTATGAGTATGTATATGATCATGTTTAATGGGTTTTCATGGGTATGGATATAATCATTTTTATTGGATTTATCATGAGTATGTATATAATCATTTCTATTGGGTTTCTTATGGGTATGTATATAATCATCTTTATTGGGTTTCTCATGGGTATGTATATGATCGTGTTTGGCGTTTCTTTTATTATTATAGGCGAAAGAGGGGGAGTACTGCTATGGAAGAAAATCCATTTTTCCTTTTCCGGAAGTTAAAACGTTAACGGCTTTCAGTTACCATACGGAAATGACCTTACCTGACTTCGAAACTATACTCAATACTGACGTAAGCATTGCAGAATCTTAGAAGATTTGGAATTGATCAACGATATATGTGTTTTCTAAGTAAATCACGGCACAAGTGCAAACTGTATTGAGCACTTTGGCTTCTCATGTATTGATTGTCATAATAACGTATTTAATTTGAAAGTAGAGGTGAGTAAGCCATGTTGCCCCACGTTGGCTTAGCGGCAGTTCTGAGGGCTTGTAACGTCAAGTGTCGGGATGTAGTTTTGCGCTTCATAACAAACAAACAAGCAGCTGTGTGTTTATATTGTAAAAATGTACACAAAACGTTGTCTTAACTTTTTTAAAAAATATCCGCTAATTATTATTTGAAGGCCATAACTTAGAAAAGTGGTTCTCAAACTGGGAATGCATCCTGGGAGTGGTGGTGGCGAAACAACAAGAGGGAATCCTCAACAGCCGCGACACTTGAAATTATTTTAGGCAGGATTAGAGTAAATTAATCTATAATACCTTTTTTTCATTTTTATTAGCTATATTTTTGCGCGCCAGCAATAAGAAGCGTGGGTCGCGCGTATACCCGATTCGATTTTATTACTCATAAGGATCTATACCAGCCTATCCTCAAATTGAAATTATTTTAGGCAGGATTAGAGTAAATTAATCTATGAGA